ACCCCCCCCCCCCCCCCCCCCCATTCGGATTTCCTGGGCACGCCACTGCAGCTATGGTCAGCCAGCTGCGGCCCGCGGTAGGTGAGTAAAAATCGGAAATGGCCCTCACAGCCATTTGAGTTGTGCACCCCTGCTATAAAATGTCCAAAGCTTACGCATAATTCTTGATCATGCTAAGAGTGGAGGCAAGTAGCTACAGTAGTCCTGGTGGACTACATAGTAATAAGTTTCATTTTCAAAATTTCAAATTTACCATAGTTTCAAGAATATTGCTGGAATGCACGCATGTGGAAGTTCATATGAACTTTTGATACATGTCCTCACGTTTAAAAAAAAATATATAAAACTGGGTATGAAAATGTTGAAAGATGTTTTGAGCTTGGTGCAAGTCATTAATGATGTCTGAATGCACCAAGTTACTTTTGTCGGCTCCCAGTTTTCCAATACTTGTGTGTCTGCCATATAAAAACTGGCTGATACTTTCAGTCATATATGGCCTCCATATATTAAATACAGTGGATTTCGCTTAATTGGGCCATCGGTTAATGGGGGCAGCCGGTTTATCGGGAGATTTTGTCAGGAACGGAATAATTTCTATGCAAGTGCATTAAAATTGCGCCGCATATTCGGGACGAAAATACGCTTTATTGGGGCAAGGTCGGGGTCGGATGGGAGCCGTCGATCTGAGATGGGTTTTTCCGTTTCTTCTGCGGATTTAAGCCATTGGTTCGGGTTGGGTTTTTCGTTTTTTTTTTTTCTGGGGCGTAGTCCTGGGTGGGTTTTTCCGTTTTTGTGGGTTTAAGCCGTCTATCCAGGATTGGAGTCCACATCACTGTTCAAGATGTCGAAGTGCAAGGTTTTGTCCCTCTGTGAGAAGATCGTGCTCCTGGACAAGGTTAAATTGTACGTTGAAGAACATACGACTCGAATTCCTGCCCCCGAATGCGACGTCGATCATCCAGCCGATGGATCAGGGTGTCATCAAGAATCTGAAGACTTTACAGGAAGGAACTCGTGCAGATGACTCTTGCAGCTATCGAAGACAACCTGATAAGCTCATCGTCCGTGGCCATCGACGTGAGTTCTCAGGTCTCGTTCCTCGCCGCCGTTCGTTCTGTGGCTAAGAGCTGGCGGGCTGTCAAGTCAGAGATCATTGCAAACTGCTTCCGTAGAGCTGGCTTTCATTCTGTACCAGAAGTGCCAGCGTCGACCTTTGAGGAAGGTTGGGTCATTCTTGATGTCACTAACAGAGAAGCCCATGTCAACATAGACAAACACGCACCATGCTTCGCCGAATGCGATAACTTCGAAGACGATATAGTCGAGGAAATTGTTGCCAAAAGGCCTCGTTTGGGGGATGACGCAGACGAGGAGCCTGAGACTTGACAAATGGTGACTTGAGGCCAGGCGCTCAATGGACATCCTTCAGCGCTACTTTATTGAGCAAGGATTGGGCGATACAGCACATGCTGCACTTGTGCTGAAGAAGTCTTTTTAGAAAAGATTTTTCAGACATGAAACTAGTAACTATGGACAAATTCCTTGAATCATAACTCTTGTTTTTTTTTTCGCAAATGAAGGGCATTTGTCTGGGTTTCTCATTGGTAACTTCGCTTTATTGGGGCAGCCGCTTAATTGGGGCTAAACTACCTGGAACCAACGTGTCCCAATAAAGTGGAATCCACTGTATTTGTTTAAATTAAACGGGTCGAAGTCGGGTCGGGATGAATCGCCGATTTCGTTATCATTTTTTCTCTCTGTTGGGTTGGAGTTGAAATAAGCAGTACTACCAATACTGCATACTGCAACTTTTGAAGCGGAGAACTCAAAAAAGTATACCGGGCGTGGTTTTGAGAATTTTAATATTTTAAAACGTAATAAATTAGATGTGAAAATTTTGCATATAATTTTAAAAATTTTCAAAAGCTTTGACACCTTAATTGCAATTTCATGACAAATTAGAATGAATTCGCATATTTTGTAGGACGCATCATTTAGTCAAAGCTTTGACACGCAATATTTCAGGAACGGTTCAACGTAAGATACTAACAATTTCTATTCATACTATCTCCACAACATGACAAAGCATGACAATTTTGAGGAAATCTATAACAGTCGAGCACAGACTGAAGGTTTGACCTAAGCCCCGTATAATGGATGGGAAACGACGCAAAAAAAAGAGAAAACTGGAAACGTGGACTGAATTTGATTTCTCCTTTTGATGGCATTTTATCAATTGAAGACACTTCGTAGTTTAGAAAGCTACAAGCTGATCAAAAGCACTCCTCACGATTGATGAGAAGAAACTCGGCGGTAAAGGGGAGGGTGAGGCCTCTCAACGGTGCCACCATACCCCAAAGCGGTTTCTGTTGTTTCTGAGAAAGAAAAATCCAAACAATACAGCCATCCATGCAGCGGTGCGTGTCCGTTCACGGGTCGCTTGGGAAAGACTTATTGGCGCAATCGGCCGATACATTCGAATGATACATGTATCGGCCGATCGGTTGTGGGACCATCTCAAACGTATGCAGTCGAGTTTGAGACTTTTCCAAGTGAGAAACAACATTCCATTATGATCTCATTCATCTCATTCAGTCTTATCCGAGTTCATTTGCATTTAATCTCGCAACTCCCTCTCGCATTCCACTCCGCACCCACATCCATTCTAGCCGACGTCTGATTTTTAATATTTCACCGTGGGCAAAAAGAAACTGGACTGAATCTTCGAGGGCTTCGGAGAAATATAGATTCTTGCATATGCATTGCGGATTGTTCCAAAGGGTAAAATTCGGCAGATGATCGTGACGTTAAGTATGGTGTGGCGAGGGATGAGAAAAGAGTCCACATGTGTTGCCAAAGTTCAACTATGAAGGGCAACGAGTTTCAGAATTATTCTTGCCCGTGAGACCGGTGTGTAAAGGCCCTCGAATGAAGTTTCCATACTTTTGACAGGAACTGTTGTCGAAGAAGGCGCCTGGAGTTAATGGTGCAATGGAGGAGGGAGTTCGCTTTACCCCCTCATTTTTTACCGTTCCCATATTTCTATAGGTGGACTTTTATCACTGAACTACCCCAGTTGGAAAACAAAAAGAATAACTCGGGGATGCATTGCTTCATTCCAGGAATACAAGAGCCGCTGCACACACATTGTGCTGCCTCGTTGCCAGCTCATCTCACATTAGCGATGCTAGTCAGATGGGGGACTTACACAACACCACCCTACAGTCCAATGCATCAGTCCATGGTGTGGCAACACTCGTAAGCCACCGTCGTGCTTATTTAAAAAAAAAATCTCCGTCCTGGAACTTCATGGTCACATCGTGCCACTCGAGCTCGCGGAAGTGGCACCTTCAATCCAAACAGAAATCTGCATTCAAGCACCACGGCTAGAGTTGTGGGATTCCGTGAATCTTTGAACATTTTAAAATAAAGCCAACTACTTATATTATGCTCGCTTATCCCCATTTCATTCCCTTCCTTACCTTGTTTCTTATTAGCAACTCGACGGGCACTAGCAAACAAACGATAAAGATTTAGTATGATTTTCCAAGCATTTTTGTTGGTATTTCGGTGACCGACAGCACGACAACCCTGTTTGTTTTCCTCATAATTATGGCTGCCGTGTTTAGGAATGCATATTTGCCTCAGGCTTCTTCTTTTGAAGAAGCTTTCTATCGTCTGTCGTAGGCCTACGTCCTGCCCACATCATAGAATCAGGACGAAGTCCTACATTTTTCGCAGTGTCTCGTATGATATTCACTAGGTTGTATAAAGTGTTTGAAGAGGTCCTGGCAACCTGGTGCCTGAACGACAGGTGAACGTGAGGCCTGGCTAACTGATCTCTTTCACCACCCACAAGTCTCGCCTCGATTAATTTCATCCCTTCAGAAGCAGAACGCTTCCTTCCAAAAATGAAAAGGGGCATGGACTACTTGGGGTGAGTGCCTCGATTTCTTAGGCCTAGTTTATGTAAATAACGTTTGCCTGCCTTTATATATAGCCCATGCCAGGCCCTGACCCATAATAAGGTCCGCTGATTGAGCTGAAGCCAGGATCATCCTGAGCTTTGAGAAAACAATTTAGGCTGAGGTTTTTCCCTATAAATAGTTCATAATAAAGGAGTTTAACATTTTTTGCAGTCCTATGCCTAGACCTGAAGATTAAATTTGACATTTAGTTGATTGCGTTCCAAGGAACGCTGCCCATCGTGGCAGCAGCAAACAAATACATGCTACATGTTTGACATAAGCGTTTAATCTATAGAAGTGAAAAGCCACTAAAGCACTTGTCACTTGGAACCACCTATCTGCAGGATTCAGGAAAAGATGAGTGAAAGATGGGTGAAAAACAGAAAAAGCCCCCAAGACTAAAACATAATGTGAGGAAAAAGCTTCAACTGAGTCTTAAAATACACTTTTCAAATTAAATTAAAAAACACTGGGTGTAATTTTTTAGTTATTTTTAAATTATGATGTTCTGTTCATAGGAGTTTTAAAGTCACATTTGAATTTTGATACTGGGTATTCAAGCTCAAACCTCCATCCATTTCCATATCCACAAAATTTAATTACTTTCATCGCTAAAAATAATTGTGCCATATGCAATTGCCATAACCAAACTATAGTGCCTAAAGAGTTTGTTTTTAACTCTGATGGGAACCCTGAATGTATTCATTGAAACAAATTGAGAAGAAAGAAGTATATGTGGAAGATTTCATTTTTTTTTAAGAAAATGAAAATCGGTGGGAGTAGCTCAAGTACATTATAAGAAGTAGTATAGTGCCCTTTCTTTACTTGTTCGGCATATGCATGGCTTTCTCATGGGTGACTTTTTCTACTTTTGCCAATTCTTCAACTTTAGCTTAAGAATTGGTGATTGTCATCCTATACCCACATGGTTGCTGAAGTATATTGCTCCATTGATTCACAAAATACCATTTCCAAACATCTATACAGGGTGTCTCATATATCAAGCATATTAAGGAAATTAACATTTTGCACTGACATTTATAACATGTTCGATCGATATGTTTGCTGTTATTCTTGGTGCATATTCTCAGGCCACATAGCCATTCTGCTTGAACATTTCTCAACTTTGCATCTTTGGCTATGAATTTGGCTTGTAATTATTGAACCTTTCAGCAGCATTTCGCTGACTGCCTACCTCACATATTAACCTCTTCAGTGGGTATGATGTATGCATGTGATATGGTGTAACTCTCCCCAGGTGGGTTTGACATTTGTATATGTCATGCTATTTTTTTAGTTCTAGCTAAATATAAACTTGAAACTGGAAAAGCAGATATAAATTTCTGTGCACAAACACAAATGATTACTTTCTTAAAAAAAAATGTATTACTCTGGTTGTAGACTTATACCCAAGAAATTCCCCTCTGAAGGGGTTAAAATTATCTTCACACATTCAACCTTGCTTTGTGACATCTTCCACTATCAGTTTCAATGCACAAAACGTGAAGGAAAAAATAAAAACATGTAAATTTCTATATGATGCCCCTGTGACTTATGAGATGCCCTGTATAACCACAACATGTAGTCCAGAACTCAGTCACAAGAATTGAAATGCAAATGCCAAGCTAGAAAATAAAGCAATAAATCTTCAATCTGATCTATTTGAATCCCAGCATATGTAACCAACCATTCCTTTAAATTTCCTCTTGGGGACATTTTCTTCTATTTCAGCCATATAGCAGTTGAGACTCTGCTGTGGCTTTGCCTCATTGAGTAAACTCAAATTTTCCGTTTTTTTTTCAGGTTTCATGTGCAACAAGGCCACATAAAGCACAGAATCATGGGAGGGAGGCAAGGTTCTGGGAAAGTGTGTGACTACCAGTCCCTAGTCCTGGCCCTGCCTCAGTAAATTAGCAAACTTACATTTTTGGCTTATACATTGTGTTCCTTTGTGTAATTGGCAGCCTGCCTTTGGCCATAAGTTGGCCATTCCCACAATGTTTTATGAATTTTTACACTATTTGTGATTTAAAATTGCATCAAATTTGGCTCAATGGGGAGAAATCTTGATGCCACTATGAAGACCAACTCCCGTGATGAAAATCAACGAGTAACTCCAAGAGCTTGAGGGGGAATTATTATTCCTTGAGAGAAAGGCATTTCTTGATCGGAGGTTTCTTCATGAATTGGGGTAAACTTCAAGTGGTGGTATTGGAATAGTAAAGGGCAGTGCTGGAAAGGACAGGAAGTGGTTGGAGGCCATTGCGTGAGAGGGAGGGAGAGTAGGGGGGCAGATCGGGGAAAGGGAAGTGAGGGTGGGGGACACGTTGGGGAATAGGGAGGAAGCGGGAAACTCCTTGTCCTATCCGCCCCCCTCCCCTTGGCCCCACACCCACTACCAAGAGTTCGAAAATGTAAAATATGCGATGAAAAGTCTGCTTTAGAAATAAACTGCAGCAGAATCGAACTTGACTGCATTAATTTATTCAACTACGAAAGTGCGTACAGGATGGAGTAATGATTAGTCTCTTTAATTTTGGGCGAGGGAAAAGGCCGGCATAGCGCTTGTGAGTGAAAGGAAGTCGTTCCGGATTTATTTGGCAAGGCTCAAAATGGATAAGTAGGAGAGGGCACGTTATGTACCTTTCTGTGAGTGTAGACGATAAACATTCCATGCTGTCGCTATTAATCCTGTCCTGAACAATGAAAAAGTAAGGCAGTCGCTTGCATGATGGCGGCTGCGAAAAGGAAAAGCTCTTTCTCCAGACCAGGATTTGTCGCACGCTATTGACATTCCATCAAGACTGGGAGCTACGGGTGACGGGGGCTCATGAAAAGAAAAATGAGGATATAAAGAGGCTATGAAATATTGACTATCTACCTCATAAAACTATATATGACGATAATAATCGAGGTAATGAAAATTTTCCTATGCTGTTTTTTTTCCTGAGGAACTCGCCTTGCCTATTTGTCAGCGTGCGTACCTGAAAGAAATTGCTTCGAAGTATGAAAAATCTTAGGGGTGGGGGATGAAAAAAATGGATAGGGACAATATTTCATGTAGACCAGAACGAACCCTTTGGCCTTGGAACCCTCCTCTGAGTAATGGCGGTGCAGCTGCTCCTTCCCAACATAGAGATTCAGGAAACTCATTTCCCAGCCCTTTAGCTGGGCTATGCCGCATGGCAGAAATGAATGTGCTCTTTTTTTCTTCTTGGTACGAAATTGTGTCGGGACTCGGAGGGCAAGCCGAGAGGAGGAAAAAAAAAAAGCGTTGCAGTATTTGCAGGGGGCGGGGGGAGATGGAGGATGATAGACGGTTGCGCAGGCCCGGCGTCCTCGATCGATCACTGCAGATGATCGCAGAACGCGGTGTCCCGCGGTCCCATACCGCGCCTTCAAGTCAATGGGGATCTGGTCGATTGAGGCCCGGAGGAGGGCTCGGCGAGTGAAGCTGCGTGGAGTGCAGCTCGGCTCAGCGGCTGTGCTTGTCAGTCATTGAGTGCAGCGCTTGCTGGTGGAAACGCCAGGTCTCGCTTGCTCGCACTCGCCGCCCCTTTCTTTCCTTCGGTACTGCAGTTCGGTACATGTACTTTGTTCGTGGTACTCGAGGTCAGTGTTCCTCTGTTCGATCTCCCTCGTCGTAATCCGACCTCACGATGTTGGAAACTCGACACTCGCCGAGTAGCAAACAATGGAGGAGATGCTAGGCGAACTCTCCTCTCGGGTCTTCTATATCCCAGTCTCAGTGCCGCTGTGATAGTGCGTTTGTGGAGAAGCTGCAATCCTCTCCCGTTGGTGATATTTTACAAAGAAAAGTGATTATTGAGAATCATGTATGCGTATCCGTCGACGGCGAGTGGGGCACCCGTGCATTACCCGTATGGGAGTGGGATGGGGGGCCCGGGGAACCCCTATCTCAGCCCTGCCCCCCATCAAATGCCCGGTGTGCCCTCCATGCCCTCCTTGGCCACCTCCCCGGTCATGCCGAACGTCCCCATCCCACCTCTGTCTCCCAAGAGGCGAAGGTAAATGGAATCTACGTACGACTACGTTTGGGGCATTGTAAATAAGCAATTTGGCATTATTGATACCCGTGATTGTAGAACGATACCATAAGCTGTAACACGTATTCGGTGACTTTCTAAAAGCGATTTTAATTCCACAGACTCCTCTTTATTCGAAATTAGTCGTAAAGATGGGTCACGAAGTGCCTGCTCGAATATGCTGGAAGACGTTCCCACGCGAGAACCCTAGCTGCTCTCCAGCTCATTGAAAAACCCTCTTCACAAAGAGAGGTGCAGAAAAGATGAGGACAGTATGAAGACAAGAAAGGCGGAGAAGGAAGAGAGAAAGAAAAGAGGCGAAGTGGGGGGGAGAAGGAAGAAAGAAAGATGCCCCGAGGGCGTCACGATTAAGGAGGATAATGCCCTATGGCGGGATAACTGGGCTCAATGGCCCGTTCCCTCTTCTTTTTCTCTTCCATTCCCGACTTCTTTCCTTTCAAGTTTTTTTTTATATTCGGTTTCTGTTCCTGGAGGAATTCTTTCGTGTGTCAGTCGAAGTGAGACGCACGTGTCCTCATGCCTGCTTCAAATACCTTTTTTTTTTCTCCTCTCGGCGAGAATTGGGTTGAACGAACGCACCCCTTCGTTTCTCTCCCTTTCATCTTTGGAAGATCATCGTGGGAACTGGGAGCCATGAAAAAAAAAGAAGAAAAATCCATGGTTTGCGGTTATCGTGATCCCTTTAGCGGCGACGAAGGATTATGGTTGTGTGGGGGTGGAGAAGACACGCTATCGTATTTCATGCGAGTCTCAAGCGTATCCGTCATTCCATGTCTTCTTTTTTTTTTTCGTTCCTTTGTTTTTGCGTCCGGATGCATGTGTCTGACGCTGACGAACGTGAAAAGGAGAGACGGGTTGTGAAACAGGAAAAATGGCGATTTACGCATAACTTGGAACTTGCCACTCTTGCGGCTTTCTTTTTGTCCACCCGACACCCGGTATATCATGTAATACGACACTCGATGAAGCGCCCAACTTAAGGAACGGAGTTGTAGGAAACTCAGGGACTGGAAGAAAAATTACTAACTGGTGAAAGTTGTAGCCGTTCAGCGAGTAATTTCACGTTTGGGAAATGTGTTACTCTATGCATACATTTTTTTTTTAGTAATTGGTCAATTTGCATATAAATAATAAATTTACATTGTAATTCTTCCCAGAGCTGGTGATATGAAGACAATGGCGCTTTTTTTTTAAGCAAGGTGGTTTTCGTGCTTTGCAGCCCATCGTTTTAATATTAACGAAAGCTCTGTCTCAGATGGTAGCCAGGGTCAGCCGATGCCAAGGCACTTCTAGCAGCGTTGTCCGTGTTTTTGAAATCGCAAGTGACCAAAGCCCATACAGTACTGAAGAGACTTGTAGCATCCTTGTGGATGCACAAAGAAACCGGGACCAACCAGAAGGTCCTGGGCATCAGCATGACAGGAACGTCGCAGCAGTCACAGCAGCCTTCAGCTGTAACTGCCACTATGGCAGATGCCACGTCTGGCATGCTGTGGAAAATAAATGTCCCGAATACATGGAGATGCTTTCGAGTGTTTTTTTGGATAGTGGTAGTGATCATACAGACAAATATGACTGAAAATGCCGAAAATGATTAACGTGATCCCCCACTTGGTGGCCACCCTGTACATATGACACCTTTTTGCTTCATGAGCAAATAAGCACTGAATTATGTCTTTACCTGAAGCATAATGTCATGGTTGGCTGCAGAGATGCCACGTCGACTAGATGGATTTTCGCACATTGTTCATTCTACATAATCTTCGCACTTGTGCATCAGTATATGTTGTGATGAAACGAGCTGGGTGCCAAAGGAAGAATCGTTCACTCGTGTTCTCAGTTCTGGTCTCGGGAAGACGCAGAAGTCAGGATGCGAAGTAATTAGGGATAGGAAAAGTAATTTTGTTAAACATTACTTTGCAATAAGTAATGAGGCATAAGCGCATATTGGTAGCATATAATCGGAGAAGAATTGAAGTCCTTTGATGGAACTAACTGTACTTGGGCAACACTGATCAATAGGTGGCTTCTCCACAATGAAGTAGCTGTTTCCCAGCGAATTGTTCCTATTGAATTGTTTGGGCTACTCCCTTCTTCCTTTCAAGGCGACGTGAACCTTTATTTAGGCAGTAGTTCCTTGAAAGGCAATTGTAACATTTTCTATAGCGTACCCCATACTCTTAGAGAATGTGCATGGAATAAATTATGACAAAATATGCCTTCCCTTGCAGATTGGAAGAGGAAGATAGCGGAGGGAAGTACGGCCGCGTGGACGAGGAGTCTATGCAGGACAAGGAGCGGTTCGCCAGGTAATGCCAAACTCCTATCACCTTCCGAATCCTTGCTTTCGATTTCGTTGGAGCTGTGCGTAGCTCCGTGGCTTGTGCCAACAGGGAGAATCACTGCGAGATCGAGCGGCGGAGGAGGAACAAGATGACCGCGTATATCACGGAACTGAGCGACATGGTCCCCACGTGCTCCGCGCTCGCTCGCAAACCGGACAAGCTCACCATCCTTCGCATGGCTGTCGCCCACATGAAGGCTCTTCGGGGTGAGCTGCGAGATTTGGCTTGGATATGGGAAAGCTGGGGTGTTTTGAATGGGGATAAAAGTCCACCCGGAATTGAATCATTTCGCTACGTTCCTACTGAGAGACTGAGGCAAACCTGTGCTGGTTTTTTCCGACCGAAGAAAACTCGGGACAGGTTCCACATGAACATGAAGACTTTAAATTTCTGATGAATCGATGTTTTAGTTATGATATTCGATCTCGATATCACAACTGACGTCGAGGGAGCACGTACAATTTGAGTCAGTTAGATGACTCTGAAAAAATTCTTGCCCTCTCGAATAGTGGCTAGTCACGGGTCAAGTATTTGAAGTGGCGTATACAAGGGTTCGGACGAGCACCAGTGATGGAGGCTGTAGTATCCCAGGTTCTGTCATGGTAAAGAGGGCTGCGGTTGAGGAAAACCAAGACGAACCGAAACAAGCGTGGTGAGTTCGGCTCCCACGTTTCGTAATGGATCGGTCGTCGCCCAGGATAATCAGGACCGCGATAGTCGCTGTGTTTCCGGGGTGACTTGATAAGTTGGAAACTGGGGTCGAGGAATCCGATGTTTCTGGGTACGTGGACCCGGCATTATGCGACGCACTATCGGTCGGCGTAGGTTTGGTTAAATCTCGTCCCGAGAGACCAGAAGCAGACCCAGCGGTTAGCGGAAGAAGCTTCTGAGTCTGGATGAACTCCATTAAGTTGGGATGGAATGTCAAAGAAATGAAATAATTAATTTATGAGACTGTTCGTGGAAATATGCGAGTTTACCGAGGTCTTGGAAGATGAACCTCGGGAACTGGATTAGCCTATATCATCCAGATTCCGGTTAATTATGAATGCTACGACTCATCGATGCATAATATATGTGAAGCAAACCATCTTTAATCCGTTATCGATGTATCATCGTTACATCCCTTACGTGAACCACGTTTTCTATATCGATATAACATCGTTATATACCAACGCGAACCACGGTTGGACATGCGGTATGGTTGGTATATGGGCATAGATTGAGCCGATTTTGCCCATGTTCTCCATCGGTGATCTCGAATGAGTCCATCCGGATGCTGCTGGCTTCGATGGATGATTGATGATCGTGTCAAGGATGGAGCAACTACGTAGGGAGAGGCATCCCCCTTTTCCTTCATTCCTGAAAGGGAAAAAAATCCGGCATTCACGAAGCCTTCAAATCTGGGAGATTTATCGTCTTCCTCTTAACTCTTCGAACGATGGAAAGGTAAAAAAAAAAAAAAAATGGAAAACGGAGCATAGGCCGTAGGCTGATCGACAGAGAAAGTGGTTCGGATTCGCCCTTGGTACTTCGTTTCCCCCCCCCTCGGTCACTCATGCATGACCACGTCGGAGGCTCTGGGTTTTTTCATACCGTCGACCCTACGGAACGGACAGGTCCCAAAGGGGATAGATAGACGGTGTGATAACATGCTCGGATCGATGAGGCATATATCCCAGACCCACGTAATATCGCCGGGGCCCGAAAGCTTCGGGGAGACTCCGAGATTGGTCGATAACAGGCCTTCTCTCTCCTACTCTCTCTCTTTTTCCTAATCCCCGTAATGAAAGTGGATCTCTTTCCCTCTGTGCACGACATTTTCCGTCTTTTCCTCCTCCACCTCTTCTCCCGTGTGCACGCGATGGAATCACGAGAGGGAAAAGAAACCCTCACCTCCTCCTCTTCTTCCTAGAACATGTCGAATCGGGCGCTTCGAGACGTTGAATCTGATGGCAAGGATTCGTCGAAAGTGGGGCTAGGGGTACCCATTTGACATTTTCGTATCCGACGTTACGATATGCACTGAGCGTCGCCATCATCGCATGATTTTCAATCGTGTGCCTGTTCCGTGTCTTCTGGATTTAATTTCGCATCTAATCGCAGTCCATTGGAATAATGGCCAAAAGGTGGAGACCTTTCTAATCTCCAAATTGTTTGATTGGGGGTGTGGTAAGATCTCCGATCTAGAAACCAGAAATTATTACCCCCAAAATACGGGGTGTTCCAGAAACGTTAATTAAATTTTAGGACTTGCTCTACAATTTTATATATGCACGCCTACCCGTATATGTTGCAGCATACGAACACCACTCGCAGTTGAACGCACACTTGGAGCAGTAATCTGGCAACGAAGAAAGACGACTCAGGTAGCTGTCACAGACATAGCATGAAACGCTTGAGTGACTTGAGTACACTTGGTTTTGAGACACCCTGTATTTTTGATTTGTTAGCATGCATATGCCGTGGGGTAGGGTGGGGCAAGAACGGACCGTACTTACCTCGTATGAATTTACATCTGTTCCCTTAATTGCTATTCACAGGAGGTATCATGTGACTCTCCCGTGATAAGCCGGTGACATGGATTTAAGTAAGATCGAAGGCTGGCATAGAAGAGATTGATGATGATGACTTCAGAGCTTGTGAAGGGTAGAATGGAAGAGAGTGAAGGGGACCGTTGGATTGAATTGCAGGTACGGGGAATACGAGCTCAGACGGGACGTACAAGCCATCGTTCCTCACGGATCAGGAGTTGAAGCACTTGATCTTGGAGGCGGCGGATGGGTTTCTCTTCGTCGTCGGATGCGACTCCGGGCGGGTCATCTACATCTCCGACTCGGTCACTCCCGTTCTCTATCATTCCCAGGTCCGCGTCTGGTCTTTTTGGCTCTCATCGGGCTACGTGTCCGGAGGGGGAGATTGAGGGAGCGCGGTTTGATGTCTTTGGGTAGAATGAGATGTTTGGGGCTTCCATCTTCGACTACCTGCACCCGGAGGACCTGGAGAAGGTGCGGGAGCAGCTGTCCACCCAGGAACCTCAGAATTCAGGTCGGATTCTCGACCTCAAGACCGGAACCGTGAAGAAGGAGGGACATCAGTGTGAGTTCCCACTTTGGTATCGCTATGTGGTCAATTTACAGCTCTACTAGACCTAGAATTGATTGGCAAGTTTCCCGGGACACGGTTGTCGGGTCAATTCGACACGAGGTGCATTCAAGAAGTTTTGTATTATCCTACTTTCTCTTGTGTCTACTTTGGACGAGGGAAATATTACTTGTGCCCTGTTGGTTGATGTGGTTGCTACATACCCTTGACTTTTTTTGTTATTCTGGTGTTTTCTTGTCAAAAGTAATGTAGTTTTCCATGTTTCATTAGGAGGAAATGGCTCTGTTTGAAAAAGATTAGCAAAGAAGCTGGGATTTGTATTGTCTTTACAGGGGAAGAAAAACCATTAAAGATCCGCGAGAACTGGTTGGTGCTTGTGAGCAGTATATCAATTAGCTCTCACACATTTCTGTTAATTCAAAAACGTGTGCAGGCAAATATTTTCCAGTGAGGCTTCTGTGAGTTCAGCATTATCCAACTTTGCTTAACATCCTCCAAATGAAAATTTGCCCACTGCTTTCAAAAAGTGGTTCACTGGTTTAATAGATGCAATTTAGGTTGTGACAAGTACAAAAACTATTATGAAAAATGAGTTATTTGTTGAGTAATGTGACACTTTTAGCTTTCAATTTTGAAACATTTGGAATCATAAACTTTTTTAAAAAAACCTTGTATCTTATGTCAGTGTTGCCTTTCACTTACCCCTGCAAGGTTGTCCACCTTTAAAGAAAAGATGTTGGCTATTGACTTATGGCACTGCAAACATTTTATTTCCAAATATATCTGGTTTGTCAATGGGTTGTCAGTGTGCAGTTTGCACAGGGGTTAGGATTGACTAAGATTCTTTTATATGATTGGGCATCTATTCCATTAGCATCCATGAGGTTGTGCATGGGATCCCGTCGAGGCTTCATCTGTCGAATGCGGTTGGGGAATGTGACAACAGATGCGATGGGCTCCCATGCTTATCGCATGAGGCACCGCAATGCACTTGGCCCTTCGCCGGATGGCCACGCCTATGCTGTCATCCACTGCACTGGATATATCAAGAATTGGCCTCCTACAGGTCTGTTCTTCTCTTTCTCGGAATTGCACGTCTTTCTTTTAATTTAATTCCAGTCCATCTGATGAACCAAAGATTAACTCACTGCATTTCGAGTTATTTTCTTAAGGCCCTAAGTGATGGAAAACTATCATTTTAACCCTTTGGTCACACCTAGACAAGTAGAGTACCAAATGGAATTGATGCATGGTCCAAATTCCTCAAACTAAACTCTGCCCTGTTACAGCCTGGAAGGTTAGCCCTATCTTGCCTGCATCAGGATGATACTGCATTTCAGGGAAATAGTGTTCAGTAACTCTTTTTTGAACAGTCTTCATCTGGAATATTTACAACATTCAATACAAGGAAATCATAAACCTGTGTCACTTGTTAGCTAAAATTTACTTGGAGGCCTGTTGTGTCTATGTTCAGCTGCGCATGATTAAGAGTACCTTGAAATATACCAATCATTCACAGATGTCCAAAGTATTGGTATATCTTGTTGAATGTTGCTTTTCACTCATCATTGCTATTCTTTATTTTAATAAAGAGTGTTCAAGTATTTGGCAGTCTAACCTATATATCGTGTGAATTGAAGAGCGCTGGGATCCTGTAGGATTGGGCATGGACCGTGGTGGTGGAGATGATGATCCATCAGCGCCATCCCACTGCTGCCTGGTTGCCATTGGTCGCCTTCAAGTCCCCTCCACCCCTAACACCTCTGATCTTATTGGATCTTCATCCAACAATGGTATGGTTGTGATCTCTCATTTCAACCTATTTTGAATGTTCTTGGCAGGCATTCACCATGGAGATTGTCTTGTGACAGAGTTCATCAGCCGACATGGGATGGATGGAAAGTACTCGTTTGTGGACCAGCGTGTGATCCATCTACTCGGTTATGCTCCTCAGGAGCTCCTGGGAAAGTCCTGCTTTGATTTCATCCATCCTGAAGACCAAGGTCATATGAAGGACAGCTTTGATCAAGGTCAGTCTGCTGCATCTTTTAATAAGGCCTTGTTTGAAGGGTGTGACTAGTGTTGAAGTCTCCACCATGATCTTCACAGTGGTGAAGTTGAAGGGGCAGGTGATGACAGTGATGTATCGATTCCGGAGCAAGACTCGAGATTGGTTGTGGCTCAGAACGTCTGCCTTTGCCTTTCTTAACCCTTACACAGATGATATAGAGTATATTGTCTGCACCAACACCACAGCCAAGTCTGATTTTTTTCTACTATATCAGTTTTCTTTAATTTCCTAAGAGTGGTTTGACTGACAGAGTCTTTGTTTAGAAGCAGCCTCCATGGGGGTGGTGACGAGACAGGCGGGGATGGCTCAGTTGCATCTGTCTATGGCCAGAGTCAACCAGGGATTGACTATAGTCTCCATCGTACTCCCTCCACTTCTACCTCCCATATCATCTCCTCTCATATGCAACAAGGTCTTCCTCACTCCACCTCCTCCTGTTTGGATATTGGTAAAATGCTTATATCTGCTCTTGCTTTAGGATGAGGAGGTGTAGTCTGCTTGCAATTTTTAGTCTGTCATCCGTTTGTAATGCAATCTTTTTTGCAACTGCATAAGCTGCTCTTTTGTTGCACACCACAAAAAGTACACTGCTTTGGTTTTCCAATACAACATGGTATTATGCAGTCATTGCTGCCCTATACCCATATCCATGAATGCTGAGGTCAGTGCAAGTGTGGAATGAGGGAAACTTGATGTTGCAGTTTATCTGAAAATTTAAGGGCTATTGCCCGTGAGCAACAAAAGACCTGTTTTGTTAGCTGATGCAAGAACCATTACATTTGTCTGTTTTTCATTTTTACATTTCTGTATCTCATATCAGTGTATGAAAGGTAAATATTGATGGGTCACAAATGTGATCTGCACTCATTACAAGGATATTGAAGTTTGCAAGGATCAGCTTTAGAACACAATAAGAAGTGTGTGATTTGCTGATATTTTATTGCAATATTATTACTTTTTATTTTTTCTTGGAGAAGAAAACTGCTCCATAATGCAAAATGCTTTCCTTTATTCAGTTATTTCATCAAGTAAAACTTGGTTCTTTTGATCAGTCTCAAAATAATTTCCAAATTGTTTTTCTTGCAAGTTTTGCAAGAGCCTTCCTCTCTTGTCAGATTCCACTGAGGGCATTTTCTTGTGATGGAAAAGAGAGCTTGTTGATGTGGAGACTAGAATGGATGAGATTGACAGAGGAAGGGGAAGGGGCAGGTGACTGCTAGGAGTGAGAGAAAGTCTCTATAGCTAGAGCAATCCTCATTATCCAATTCCACAAAAAGGGGAAGCAGAAGGAAATACAAGTGTTTCCTTTCCTGCCTCTAATTGCTGGGGTGTGGGGAAGTGGAGTTGCAGGAAAGGGACTTGGAAAACTTTTTTCTGTAACATTCCATCTCGTTTTCTGCATGTCTGCCTTAACAAGGAAAATTGCCCAGGGGACTACAGGACTCATCTGGGTGGGTGGGAGTTAAGGAGCTACAAAGCAGCAGTATTGGGATTAAGTAGACAGTTTTTTGTGGAGTCTGTAGAATTTTTGCTAGGACCATTGCTCTAGTATGAAGTAGCAGGATTATCTGATTGTCAGATAAACAAGTTAACTATTGTTACAATGCTGGTCTGAGGCCTTTTTCATAGATTCTATGTGTAGAATTGGAAATGGGGCTGGATACTTGAACATCTGCCAGAAACTAAGGATATTCTGAAGTTGAAAAGGTTTTAAATGCAAATTATCCTCTTTTTTTTTTCTTTGCCAAATTTTTTTGCCAAAGATTTCCTTATTCCCTACAAACAACTGCTGACACTGCCTTTTAAAGCTGCACACAGCAGCCTCTGTTCTACATGATTCAAAGGGTACATGTATTAAGTGTATGTTAACTGCAGTACAAAGTGAATGAACATAGTAGTGAAGATGAAAGTGAATTGGTGTGCAGCAATGCAGCTGTTGCAAAAAAGAATGCACTATTTGGACTTTTTTGGGGAAAAAAAAGTTACTTCCAAACAGCTCTTTGCATCTTGTGTTAATGTCTGGACCAACTGTTATCAGCCTTTGGGTTGTGACCTATCCCCAGGTTATTATTAGTGCTGTATTGATAAGAAAATTTGGTCTATATATATTCTTGACTGATACTGATGACAATACTGGTCTTAAACTTGAATTAGGTGCATCAGTTCTACATTGAGCATGAAATGAAAAACCCTCACAGTGACATGTAATTAATTTATCATTTTGTTTCTCCAAAATCATCAAAAATAAAAAAATGGTGCTCTAAACCACAAGAAAACTAGCCATAAATATCAAATCCTATTTTCTCTATATGAAGTGTTTTATTTTAAGGAAGGGACTTGTATCACTTTTGGTTTTGAGGCATTTGTCTGATTCTATGTAACAGTATTGCTTTAGCAATTCACATGACTATAATTGAAAATATACAAGCACAAAGACCTAGGCTAGAATAGTCCACACAGAGCACATATCCTAGGCCAAGCACAAGCTACATTCAGCACAAACCCAACATTTTGTATTTGTGAAAGCTGCATCAAGAGGCCTAAGCATAATGTTATCATTATCACATTTAATGGAAGCAGGCCCAATCAAGATTTAGGGTGGATTTTTAAACAGAGAACTATCTGATAATGCAGCTTTATTCCAGAGAAAATATGTGATATTTCTTGGAAATAAAGCAGCATTATTGGATAGTTCTCTGTTCAAAAATCCACCCTTAAGCATTTGTCTAAGGAAAATTCAACAACAAGGGCTTCTTAGAATGTTCAATGGGGATGGAGCTGCCACTGACACTTTCTCCTTTGTTTGCTCTCATTTAGTGGGGAAAAGTTTGTGCTCCTGACAATGCCTTGCATTTGGCCTCATGGTTTTAATTTTAAGTTTTGAGTTCTTGTTACTCTGGATGAATGCAGATCCCATCTGCTACTGTCTACAGGTAGGATTTCCCCAGCCTGCTACAAAATGTCAGGAAGTTGAAGTGGGGGGAAAATGCATTGTGCATACAAAAATGAAATAAAATAATAGAACCAGCAGGCCTGAAGATTGGTACAGTTCTAGTTATTTGATTCAGGACTTGAGCAACAAATGCTAAGTTGTTTCGTCCAGTATATTATTTTTTTATTTGCAACAAGCACCATTTGTCATGTAATGTCTTGAACAGAAATCATTTTGGTTGCTATCAAAAAGGTTGAGAACTACTGGTCTAGACAGACTCTAAGTCATGGGCTGTTCATTTTCAGTCATGTTTTTGCTTTCTCATTAACTGCAAAAATTTTCTTCCAAACTACTTTCTCACCTTTTTATGGAATTTGGATTTTGGGTAAAATTAGTGACATTATTCATGATAGCAAGAGCTCATGGGTCCAAGATCAACTGACTTGTATGCTATTTGAATCCAGCATCATATTTAATGCAATTTATTTTTGAACCGATGTACTCACTTTGATTTGCTCACCTCTGATTTGCTCAGCAGACCTATTGAAGTATCCAAAAACCTGTATCATTGACTTGCCTTATCCTCTGGTGCAGGTGGGGGTGGAGTTGGTCGACCTAACAGTGCCCAGCCAGTGTATAGCAGCTATGAGGGTGCTGGAGGAGGGAGTGCAGGAACCCATTCTCCCTTGGGTTACAGTCCTGCAGGGACATCCGGTCGCTCCGCTCTCGGCAAGGCAGCTACCCCACCCACGCCTGGGAGCAATCCTGGCTCTTCCTGGTCCACTGCTCATCTCAGACAGGTCTGTTGTGCCTTCTCGTGCTATTCATTCAAAACATGAACTCGAAATCCAACTAGCAACTGGGTGAATCCTATGATTCAGGATTCAGTATTCTTTGTATCAATATGAAAGGAATGGATATTCTGACTTATGATGAACAAAATCCATGGTCCATGATCCCACTTCAGAAGGAATGTGTCTTGTCTCATTCTGTTTAGTGATGCTTAAGTGTTTTATGTATTAATTGATGTTAATACTCCATGGTGCTAACCCAGGCTTGTCACTCATTCATGTTAATCAAGTAAATATAATCAATCATGCTGTCCTTGTAGTTGAGATGAGTCAAGGTCTAATTTCTAATCTGTCTTGTCTCAGCAGGGAGGAAGCGATGCAGGTGGAAGTGGTACATATGCAGGGTATTCAGGTGGAGGTGGTGGTGGAGCTGGGAGTCCATCTCGCTCTCCCACTTACACCCAGCTCAGTTCCTCACCCACACCCCGGGGGACCAGTGGACCTCCTGTTCCTGGTTATATGACACCCAACCCTGGTGCACCTGGCACTCCAGGGAATCCAAACCCTCAGCAGACTGGTCTGGTTCTCATCCTCCTTTCTGCCAAGTGGGCCAATTGTAATCAGAAGTAGATTCAGTAACTGCTTTGTCTCCATAGGATGTCAATTTCATAGCCTCTCAGATCTCTTGGTATAGATAAGCAGGTGCTCAATCTTGGATTCTGGAGTCCATTCTTCTTTTTACTGAAGATGAAGGAGATTGTCATTCAAGGAGCATTGTAATGACCTGAAAAAAATAGCTAGTTCTCATGTCACTTTGATTTACATCATATGTTCTCAGCTCCCTGTCTGTAAATGCTGGTTATTGAAGTAGTGTGTAGAGGCACTAAGCTGAAACTTGATCACAAACTTGAGTTTTGATCACATATGGCCCAGATTTTCATCCTCAGTCTATGCCATCATTGGAATATTAATGAAACTGAACCTTGTGTTGGTGTCTTCTAGGCTTATGGCAGTGGCACCACAGTTCGGCTGCTGCTGCTGCTGCTGCAGCGGCAGCAGCAGCTGCTGCATCTGCATCTGCAGCAAGTGGTGGACCGGGGAGTGAGACTGGATCACCCGGTGGCTCGGGTCGACACCCACACCCTCATGCAGGACATCCACACCCGCATACACAGCAGCCAGGCGAGCTGACAGATATGCTGCAGATGCTTGATCACCCAGGGGCTCCCTCCTTTGAGGAGCTCAATATGTTCAACACAAACTTTGAGTAAATGGAGCAAATAGACTGTGGGGCCATCCTCTGCATCGGGAATCAAAACCGATTTTCTTCCAGGATCTACTGCTTCCTTTTCTGGGCAGTCTTGATCATCTCATGTTTCTGGTTACAGTTTTGAATCTTTTTCTGTCAGACTGAGTTTCAGTTTTTGCATCACTATCATTTTGAGGCCTTCTCGTCGGATGTCACGTATGAGGTTCAACGATGGGGTTGATTTTGATAGGCTGATTTGAAATATTGACTGTACCCAAAATAATGGAAGATTCTCATAGCCGTTTGTGCGCACTGTCTAATTTCTGCAAGCCGTTTCCGTCTGCTTGCTTGTCTGCAGATTTTTTCTTATTCGAAGTACAAAACTTGGCTTACCAGTCATCCAAGTCATTCCCAGTGTTGACTGTTCTGTTGTGTTGGAACACAATGATGGAAACAATCTGTTCTTTTCCCAGTGCTCGGTGTCACGTCTGTCTTCACGGTCTGAGTTGGTGCACGTATTCACAGATATTAGATGCGTAGATATCTCCGAGAGAAGGTCGGGATATTTTCGGATGGTTTGTCGACATCGTGCAGATGTCTGTGTCGGTTCCTTTCTATAAAAAAAGATTGCAAAAGCTATGCATATCAGAAAGTCTTGACAGAAGGAAATAGTTTTCCTGCTCTTGGGAACCAATCCAGTTGTCTTGCAAAGTTCCCTCTGACTTCCCAGAAATATTAAATTCATTGGGAAAGTATTCTTGGCCAAGTTTCAGCCGATGTTTGCTGCATTTTTTCTGGCGACCACATATCTACATTGAAAGCAAACTTAATGATGCAGAATCTCTTTCATGGATTCTGCGCCTGAGTTTTTTTTTGTCTCATTTAGGTTGAGCGTGAGAGTTTCTCTTTATATATTACACAACAGATTTTTTTTGTCCAAACTGCTTTTTATTGAGATATTGTAATAAAGAACTTGTTCATCTGTCTTCATCCTGTGTCCCATGCCAGCAGCACATTTGTACCAATTCTCATGAATTTCTCTGTGGTTCCTTGCCGAAGCTTTGCATCGATTATAAACTGGTTAGGGAGTCAGGAAATCGGCAGGTTGAGGACAGATAGACACCCCAACCCTACTACGCCTGGTTCCACTACCTGGAATTTACCTTTTCAAAGAAATCATGGCATTGCATATTGGGTCTGTGGACGGACATCAGACTTTCCTCGAAGGGGCAGAGCTAAAATTGGAACTCCCAAGGAAGGTTGAAATTGCGTTATTGTCACTGACCGGGAAACTCAAGTTCTAAATCCCTGAATCCCTTCCCTCCGTACGCCGCTGTATTGTCATATATGAAGACTTTGACTGAATAGTCCGTCCAGTCTTATGCATTGTGCATCAGGATGGCTGATTCCTTCTAGATTGTTGCGGGCAGATAATTACTTCTGAATGGAAGTGGGTGAAAATCATGAGCTGTGAGGAAACCCGACCTCTCCAGCCCTTCGTTGGCAGCTGTGTCCCGCTTGGAGGAATGTTCTCGTCCGCGTTTTCACTCCAAGGAAAGAATGGGGGCCTTGGGGTACCCCAGTCTCTTCCCTCGAGATCGAGTTCTCATTTGAGAAGCTCTGGAGTGATTCGAACAAAGGAAGAGAAGTCACATTATGTTTTTACGTTTCTTGCCCTATAATTTAACACTTTCCAAACGAGACTTATTTTCCCATGCCTCGCCCTAGGGCTACATCTGGGCCAAGTATCATCGCCCGGCTTCCCGTTGATTCCGAGAATTTTTTTTTGCATGAATTCTTCCATCGGCACGAAAATGCACTCTGCCCTTCCGCACGACTAACAACGGTCCACGAACGATACACGGTTACACGCATATTCCCTGAGCTCGGACTCGTCGAAGGAAGCCGGAATGCACGAACGGTAATTGAGAAAACCCATTCCCTAATGACTTCCTCGTATCTCGCATTCATGCCGATGCTGAAGCTCTTGGAAATCGACCGGAATCCCTTCGACCCAACGTCATCGAGTTCCTACTGCCATGGTCCGATTCTTCGAATTTTCATTTCTTCCGTTAAATGAACGTGCTGACCGACACGAAGCAAAAAATGTAATTTGACCAAGTGGGATTCCGATGCACTCCTCTCGTCTTCGGGCTTACAGCATGCTGTACCGATGCGTTACAAGAGTATGAACTCGGCCTCGCTCGTCACGCTGAAGCTGCGCTGATGTACTGGGTGAGGCGAGGCATGGGAAAGCCAGGAGGCCGTACTTGTGTTCTATGGTGGCCCTGAGCCATCAAAACGACCGGTGATAAAAATGGCCATGTACTTTACTGCCGAGAGCTGCCGGTTTGCGGTGGCCGTTATCGTGCAATCTCCGAAAGAGGTACGGCATGAAAAACGCTCGACGACCTAAATCTCCGCATCGATTATAAGGCTGGACGACCCAGCCGCATTCGCAAACCTCTCGGGATCCTCATTTATCATGCCTCTCGATGGGTTCCCCTTATCTCGGCTCCTCATCGCATCATCTGTTCACCCGCACGATTGTCGTACTTTGAAAACTCGGCGATTACATCACGGCCGTTTATTCCGGGACGTGAAGAACCCTGACGCGGCCCGAATTCTGACGCCTCCAGGCCACCTTAATCGCTTTCGCGAACGACCGTCTGGGAATCATTCCTCGATGCCAGCGGAAAAAATAAAAATAAATCGAGAAAACGACGCCTGACGTTCAGACAATCGACTCACGTTCTACCAAGATTTCAGCTCACCGTTAAGATTAGGAAGCTGTGTGGTCATCTCCGCAGTTTGGAGAGAGCTCAATTTACAGAATAACAGGATTTTTTGGGGCCAGTTCCAAACACATTTATCTTATCATTTTTCGAAAAAATGGAAGCACATTTTTATCGAAACGAGAGCGATCAGAGCGATAAAGGTCTTAACCTTTATCCTACGGGAATTTTTTTTTGGTCTCCTCACGACCGGAATTTAATTAGGTCGGTAATTTAATTTCATTTATTACGAAAAATTTCATACCGTCGCTATTTTTTAAATAAACCAAAAACGGCGCGAAGGAGCGAAAGTCGCTGTACACATTTTCTCCCTTCTCCCGATTCAAACGTTTAAATTAGGACTGATATTATTTACAATATTCGGAAAGTTAATCGTTGAAGAAATTTCGATTGTGACTCGAAGTGGAACCGTCGAATCTTATTCTGTTTCGGGAGCGATTTCAAAATGAAATTCGAGGGTCTGGACTGAAAAAAAAAAGAGGGATGCCTGAAGAGGGATGATGTGCCAAAATTAGACTCGAGGGAGGAAAAATGGCAAACTTTTTTTTGGCACCTGATGGGAGTTGGAATGATGATTCCGGGAAGAGAGAAGAGGAAATTCCTCCTTGAAAAAACGAGCAGGTGTTATATGCGGCTTTATATCTTTGTTACTTTCACCGTCTGACATCCCCATATGGTGGCTTCGAGATGATGTAGATCTCGGGGATTTTTCCCACGCGAGAATTCGGAGTTCCGTGACCGTGAAATTAGAGGGGTTCGCGAGATTTTGAGGCCTTCCGAGGGCTTCTGATGGCTTCGTCGACGCGTTTCGTCCGTTTCGCAAGAGGGAGGCGCTCGTCGCACGATCCGTCTCCGTCGGAGTCTCGCGAGAGAATGGACGACACGGTCCGACGACGACGGGTAATTGGGTCCAAGGACGATCTGAGGAGGTTTCTCTCTCTCTCTCTCTCTCTCTCTCTCTTTCTCTCTTGCCGCTCGATCTCGCCGGAATGGAAGTTTCCACATCGTTCACCCTCGAGTGGGAAGGCATCTTCGCGATGAAAAATCTGGTCATCTCCCCCGGATGCCTCCTTGTGATCACGGGCGTCGGTCGCGCTAATCGCTCGAGACCGCAGGGCTTCTTCCCAGGGCTTCCTCCGAGACGGATCCCCGGTCGAGACGGAATCGCTCCGGGAACTGCGAGTTGGCTTTCATTTTCCTCCTCCCATTAAGAGAAAAAAAAAGTCGAGACGAAGGTCCGGTCGAAGCTATTTCACGATGAACGAGA